ATCTACAAAAAATAACTTTAGGCCCTGTGCACAAAAGAAAACACAACACCAATCAATAGGGTTCAACTCTTCTGATTCGGCTGCTGCTCCCAACAATCATGAATGAACAACACAATAAAGTCAGAAGCTCTATCCTCCACGTCCCTCCTATTCTCTTGCCCCCCACCACATGTTGGCTCCAGCAGAAATGTTCCCTACTGCAGCCTGGTGTACTAAGAAAAATGAAAGGCAGCAGCTGTCTCCCTGAACATGCTGAAATCTAAATTGCAGTGAAACAGCAGCTCTTGCATTAAATGCTCAGCAGCAGGATCCCACAGCTGGCCCCAGAAGCGCTGCCTGCCAGGGGCTGAGATCTCCATTCTGACACACCCTGCAAATCAGACGGGCTGGAAGATTGCAGGGCAGTAACTGTATGAACACAGCCATACATTTCATCCGCGTTATCTAGCAAGTCTCAAGAAACAAACGTCATTTAAGCCTGTCTTGAGACTATATTCTACAAAATAGAACAAGCAATTGTTTTGGTGGCCTGTGTAATTTTTGGGGGCTGTGTATGGTTTTTTTTGTTGTTGTTGTCTTTGTTTTTAAATCGAAAATTCACTGGCTTCAGAAGAGCAAGCCCCAGATTCATTAGGATGAAGAACCGCACGGACGTATGTGGCTGACAAGAACACTCGGCATGTCTAACAGTAACACCAGAAAGACAGGAAAAAGTTAAAGGAGATAGACCTACCTGAAAGGATCCCAAATGTCTCGCTAACCTGTCTAGTGACTATTTTTCTGCTAAGCTCTAAACGTTCCTATAGCTATGAGGTAATTATCTGAAAGAAAGGAAAGGCAGAAAGCTGCTCAGCCTTTATTTTTTACCAGGACTGTCTCATGGGATTCTACCACAACTTTGACCACAAGAAAGGATGGCAAATTTTGACTACAGAGCATTCATAACCAGGCAGCATTTTTTCTTCCTTACTCAAGTCCAGTAAGGGTTTAAAAGGGAAAAATATACAAAAGGGGACTGAGGAAGTTGTGTCATACCTCTTAGGCGTGCGTCATCTATGGAGAAGAAGAAAACTCTAGCACTTTCTGTGCGTGGTAGAGAAAGAACCCTAGACAAGTACAAAGGGGTTTTAGCATCCTAAAAGGTCCTATCAAATCCCATGGGCACGAGTTAGAGCTGTAGTGCCTCAGAGAAATGGGATACACGGAAGAGCTTTACTGCATAGTATGCAAATAAAGCCTTCTATAAAAAGACCCCACGTTTGACACAAAAACTGACTGTGTCTTTGCCTTGTGGCCAAACTCAGTTTGGGGTTGGCCAAACCAAAACAACCCAGTCCATTTCTTGTGCTCAGCTTCTCTCTCTTCACATTCAACTTCACATCCAATGGGCTGCTGGGACTCTGGACTCCACACAGCACCAGTGGTTTTCCAAGATGACTTTCCTTGCTCAGAGGTGTGCAGTGTCAGTTTCCCATTTCCTC